TATGGCAGGTTTTCCAAGCAGGCGCTTGTTTTCCAGCTGCTCATCCAGCATTCGCTTCAAAAGGAGGCTATCGTCAATCTGCTGCCCATGACCCCATCATTTCAAATGCCCCGTCTATAGCCAGTAGATCATATTGGCTAGTTGGATGTTCTATTTTTTCTGTAACGAAAGAATTTGGCACCAGACTATATCACTTTAGCTTTAATATTGTTCTTAATCACTTAGCTTTCATCTCGTCTAATTTTCGGCGTATAATTTTTAATGTGAAATGTGCCCTTCCACAGTCCATAAGCAAAATACTCCGAAAACTAGTCCTTCATATTCTCAGCTTTGTGCTTGAGACATCATTGTCCTTCCAGACCTTGCTTTACTTACTGTTTGTTGCTAATGTCGGGGCACAGCGTACCCTAAGATTGTTTACCCCCCCCCCTGCGTGCAGCTGAATATCCTCTAAGGTAAAGATATGCCGGTGATAATTTATCTGTAACCTCATTCATGCCAAAGTGAAGCAGTTGCTAGTCTGGTTTCTGACCATCTACGACCACCTTGCCAACCTCTTTCAGTTAAGCGAGAGATTCAAACCACAACCCCTCTGTTTAAAGTTAGGAACAATGATCCAACCGTTTCGAAGCTATCTGCAAACTGTCACGAAACGTCGACTGTTCTAATAACGACTTCATCAGCTGTCTGCTTTTTTTTGTGCCCAACACAACTGAAGCGGTATTTTAAGAAATTTCTGTGTTTGAGTTACTGCTGTGACTTACTTGCTGCAGTGAACACTTGCGAACTTTCGTGATTGACTTGTCGTCTAACTGAATGGTTTGGCTGATATATCGGTTTAAGACAGGACGGAAGTTTGGCGTCGGTTTTTTAGTCAGTTTATCGTGGGTCGTTGCTTCAGAAACTATGCTTTCTGCTGAAGGTTCAGTGTCTTCCAGAACAGGTGACAGCACCTGTACTTTAGGAACAGTATTTCCTTTGGCTTTGAGATATGGAATGGATTCTTTCTGCAGCTGTTGCCAAACGCTTTTCTCGAATTTCTCGATTTGGGCGTTCGACGGTTTCAGCGGAATATAAATCAGACTGCAAGCGAAGCAGTTCATAGTTATTCCAGTGACGATCAACAGAGCGCCTTGCCATCCGAAACAATCGTTCAGAAATGTCAACAGCGGTCCAAACGTCATGGCTCCCAGACCCGAACCGCAAACAGCGATTCCGGTGGCCATGGCTCGCTTTTTCTCGAAATAGTAGTTGACCACGATAACGGAAGACAAATAGACCATTCCCATTCCAGTTCCTGAAACAGACGTAGGTTGTATTTTCACAAAAAATAGTGAAACATGATTATGCTGAGAAAATAAGACAAAATGTGACCCTGAAGATTTGAGGTAGCTTTTCCAATTTTCTCTTTCTAGCTTTCCAGCCTTCTTATGCCGTTTCATTAACTAATATCAGCGACGAAACTCCAGTTGATTGACACTTTACTTGGTAACTGAGTAAAACAGCATTAAAAGATACTGTTCAACGACCGAGTGATTGTCCTGTACCGATATTTCGACCCGCACCTCATGCACATACCTCAAATTAAGTCTGGTTATACAGCTCCATTGCTGTTTCGTCTAAGTGTCTCGTTGAGACAACGTCAACCTTGACAGTATGCATAAACCCATGGGTTGGACGAGCATCGTCTACCTGCTGTACAAAAACTACATAACCGAATACAACGTTCAATTCTGAACGAAATAACAAATAAATCACGAACTCAACTGAACCTCTCCGCTAGAGCCTCCACAGTATCTGACCACCTAATTTGATTGTTATCTCAACTGTCAGACTGTCTCTCTCTTAAGTTCTTCCAACTTGCCGAACTTCGCTTATGAGGACCAGTTATGCACTTCCTCCTGGCTGTTGGAATCACGTGAGGGCGGAAGGGAAAGCTGCCTGTCCTTAACGCATAAACCTGCAGATGGACTGCATATCTGTTTTGTCAGACGCTGATACGGTATCCCTGTTTTTCAACATTGTCTGCCGCTTCGGCTGTCATGCGTAATTTTCGTAGTTGAAATATCTCGAAGTAATCCTTCAGCCTCTATCTAATTAGCCTGTAGATAAGAGAGTAATTGACTGTCGATTGCCCCCTCCTTCGTCTTCCTCACCTTCTATAGTAAACTCTTGTCGCTTTCTTTCATGTTACCGAGTCCACTGACTTTAGATTGTGCCTCAGTTTCCGGCGAATTACTCGTCATCTCGTCGCAGCTGCTTTTAGGGCTCAGTTCCAGATTCCAGGTTCGGAGAGTGTGAGGTTGAGCACCGCCTCGCCGAATACCTTCGGTGGTTTTCTGCGATCTTCGATTCGAATTGCCTATCTTTCAATTTTCTCTCTGAATGTCAGCCTGGCTCGCACCAGTTTGTGGTCTGGTACCATATACCTGGTTTATATATATACTCCCATCGCGTATCATGCTGCGTTGCGCAGTAAACAGTCTATGCAAATATTTTTCAGGCTTAGTGTCTGTTTTGCATATATTTTTAATCTGTTTCGAAAACTATTCATGTTTTTCTTAATTATTCTAGTTTTTGAATGATGACGTCACTTTATAACTCATGTAAATGTAACAGGCTCGAAGACGCCGTCTGTGTATTTCCGTTTCCTTGAGCGATTCGAACGACGACTGCTGAACAGCGAAGAACAAGAATTTTGCCAGCTGTGCAGCGTCAGAATGATGATAATAAAGCTTCTGCCATGCTTCCGTCCATAATGTGCAGGTCAACAGCGAAATTTAAATGAAGTAGCTAAAAGGAACTTGAATTCTTGGAATTAAACCAAGATATCTCTTTGATTCAGAGAGAGTGCGAGGGCCCAATGCGAGACAGGATGGAAAAAGGGCAAAAGGAATGACTCAAACTCTGAGGGTGCCGGGTTCGAATCCTGAGAGGGCGTCAATTTCGTTTCGACCGAAAATTCCCGTCAGCAAGCAATTTACCCAAAGTTCTTTTGGTGCAG